CTGACACATCCCTCCAAATAATGAACAGCAAACACTTCTGAGTTGACCAAGTGGTAGTTTGAAATGGAATTAGAAAATGCTTCCTTGTTTGCTGCTTTGGGAAAAGGTGAGTAATATGAGGGGAAAAAAAGTTAACAAGTACAAAGAAAATATATCCTATGTACATAATGCACGAATATTACAAGTATTCTCTATAAGCCATTTGCAGTCACTGCATCATAGGTATTTTACACAACCCAGGAAACTGCAGGCTGATACACCCAAGTGATACATGGGTAATCATGGAAAATGTAGGTAGAAGGAAATAGAAAAGTAATCTTGAGAATTCTCAGGATCTAAGGATCCTAATGATTTAACTGTAGGAAAATAATTTAATAGTATTAAGGTATTGGCTCACAGACAGAGTGGTTTTGGTATTCATTACTGTGTACAAGAACAAGAACATAATGAAGTGGTTCACAGAAGCTAACATTTGATGCAAGGAATGGGTTAGGAAAGAAGAAAATGGTACACCTCTTCATACCCAATCACATTCAGAAATCTAACAAGTGTAATTTAACTGAAGGCAAAGCTAAAGATAGAGTTCGTTGATTTTAACATGAAAAAAAAGAACATCCAGAGTGATTTCTGTAAAGGAGCTTTTATAAACATACTCTCCATTAACAACAACCATTTTAAACTTCCTTGCTTCCACTTTACAAAACTGTAGCTATAAAACAAATCTAAGTAAATGACAACTTCAGATAAAAAAGAAAATGACAGTCTTGAAAAGAAAGCAGCAGGTAAGATCTAAATGCAGTCACCAAAAAGCAGCAATTTCAGAGTTCACAAGTGAACAAATTAGTTTTGCCTAGTAGTATGGTAGGTATATATGCCTTATAGCCTGTCTAAAGAAAATAAAGTCAAAATTGTTATAAATAGCAAATATAATAATTTCTTTTGCCTTAATTAAGAAAGATGAGGCAGTCTGCTTCTGCAAAGATTTACAGCCTTGGAAACCCAATGGGTGTTGCTATGAATCAGAACCAACTTGATGGCAATGAGTTTGATTTGGTTTTCTGGTTTTGCCTTAATTATTACATGAACACGTGGGCCCACGATGGCAAAAGAAGAATATGGTGGCAATGACTACTCACAACAGTTACAGGACAGGATACAGAGCTCTGTCCAACATCAAGCAAACTGTAAGTTCTGATAAGAAAGATATGCCTACCGATCATCATATCTCAGTTCTCTAGGAGTGAAAGCATCCCCAGGCTGACTTCATCTCAAACAGGGAATTCTGTCTTCAGCCTTTACTTTTATAAATCTGCCTCTTTTATTATCACTGTGATTTTTTAATATCTCAAAGTCTTAACACATTTGAAATTTCAATCTTAAAATATGAATATGGTTTAGAAAAAAATTGAGAAAGTCCAAGAGTATGATTGACAATGGGCCAAGGAATAGTGTGAGGAGACAGAAGAGATAAAGGAGAAGGGTATTTAAGGGTCAAAATGGGGCACAATTTAAATACTCTATATTAAACCCAATCTTTTTTTCCTTCATGACCCTTCTATGTTTGTAAATTACTATGTAGTAGAGAACTCTGACTTCTGATCCTTTCATAAATAGTATTTTTCATACATTAATTATATATTTAAGATAACATGTCAAACAAATCTTTTAAGTATTTACAACAAATTACATACAATCTAAAGTTTTCATTTAAAATATATACACTAATTGTGAGAGATAACCCAGGAAATACCTGAATGGGTTACTTTAGCTGAATTGCATTCTTAGTCAGATGGATTGGAATTTACTGAATAATTTTTTCTTGGAAGTCAAAGGAAATTCTATTTCGAAATTATTATGCTCTAGCCCTACTATAACATAACCCAAGCCTAGTTGGAAGAAAGTGGCATTTGCAGTTACTATCATCCCAGTTTCTGACAAGAGCCATTACATAGACATAAAGACTGGTAGAGGCAGTTGGTGAACAAGTGGAAAGAGAGAGATGACTTGGAAATATAGATATAAATCAAGGAGATTTTTTTGGAAAACAGGCATAAACCTAAGCAAATACTATGATTCTGATACATACAACTGTATCAATGCATATACAATCATTTCTTCTGGATATTACATTTCAGAAAAAACTACTTTACATAACTTGAAGTATCTAAAGAGGAATCCAGTATGATATATGAAAAAAAAAATATACCTATATATAATGAATACTCAGTGATAACTGAAAATAGGAGAAAATACAATATAGACAAATAGTAAATTGTTGGAAGAAAACTAAGTTTTCTATGAACACATGCTCTTTTACTAATGCACTAATGATATATACGATGTTTGCTTTGAAAGATTCATTATGCAAAAGTGTAAAGGGTCTAGAGTCTAAGAAAACAATCTGCTCTATCCCCTAAGATCAGGTAATTACAGCACAGCTGGTATGATAATTTCATTAATGACTTGTAGGCTAATACACTGGTGCTGCTAATGCTAAATTATAATCAATCACAAATACTATTTCTTTAGTTTGCTAAATACAGGCTTTATTATTTAATTTCTGCTTTATTTTAATTGCACCTTGCCCTAAGAGTTGGAATGCAGAGTAAAATCTAAAGTCTGGGAAGACTTCCCACATACATAACTATTGATATACTGTGTAAGAACCAGGGACATGTGGCTCAAGAGGCATAACAGGAGAGTTAAGATGATATTGTATGAACGTATAATCCAAACCCCCAAAAAGCTATTTCACATCAAAAGAAATATTGTTAATCTCAGCTGGGAAAGGGAAATCATATAGCAGACAACTAACACCCAAGAGAAGGTCTCATGAAAATAGACCGTAACTTCAGGGATTTATAGCTTTACAAACATAAAGCTATTGTTACATTCGCTGATAGATAATTCAGCCAATTTCATAGCTCTAAACTCAATGTTTGAAACTACAAGGAGTTGAAAAAGAGAACACATTCTGCATGTCAATCAATTAAGTTTCACTTTTATTGGCTGTCAGGTATTTATCAGCAACTTTAAATCTAAGAATTATGGGAGCTCAAGATGCCTGGCATCTTCGGACCCATGAACTACTTTGCCTATTTCTAAACGTCTCCAGTGCACAAAGACTGTCATTTCATTTGGTAATTCATGATTGTGCTCAGCTAGCTACCTGTCAGCAAGTCTACTTTATTTCTTTCCTTACTATCTTAGAAGATCTTGACATAACCCTATTTTATGTTCCCAGATGAGCAAACCTAGTGATACAACAACATATCTTGTTTAGTTCTTTATTCACTAGACTTGTTTTTATTAACTACAGAGGAGAACTGAGCTAATTCTAAAATGACTTTTATGTATATCCTTGCTTTTAATCATGAAGAGTCAGTTTTCTTTAGCCTTTCAGTTCTGTTTGAGACACAGATCTCACAGTGACCTCCATAGTGTCAATTTCAGTGCACAAAGGTTGTTTAGATTGTGAAAGAGGAAAGCTTAGGTATCTTTAGAGAAGAAATTGTAATTTTCCCTAGTCCTTATATCTTAAATATTCCCTTGATTTATGAAATTCTATCTCATTAATATTTATCTCTGAATAATGACCCAAGATTGCTAGAATCTAAAAAGATTTAAAGAAATATGTATATATCTAGCTATAGATGAGAAAGAGAGGTATCCATTCATCTTCCATGCAAAATACACAAAACAAAGGAATTAATCTCATGTGATGTAAAGTAGGTATAACAGGCAGCCATTTTTGCAAGATAATTACAAGAATCCTTCCATAAAATCCTGCTCAAAATTTGATCCTGAGAACAACAAAGGCTCTGTCATATCAGTTCTTCATCTTTCCACTCCCTGTCCTTCCAGGAGAGCTAACTCAATGAAGCCTTCATATCTGTGTGGAAAACTAGAGGTACATTCTCCCCATCAACCTTTAGGCCCACCTAATGTAAAATCCCCAAAAAAGGAGTTCTGGTGGGGTAGTGCCTAAGGCATTTGACTGCTAACCAGAAGGCTGGCGGTTCAAACCCACTAGCCACTCCTTGGAAGACAGACTGGGCAATCTACTTCCATACTGACACCACATTGGAAACTCAAAGAGGGGTCTCTAGGAGTCGGATTGGACTTGATGGCAGTGAGAGAATGTAATATTAGAAGATAGCTTTTTTTTTTTTTTTTCCACAATAGGAAAAATATTGTCATTTGGAAAGGACAGTCCCTCATTGTGCTTGCCTGTCTTGAGCAGAGCAAAATGTTTACCATCCTGGCTCTGGCCTCCTAAATGTCAACAGTGGCCCCAGTTGTTATGACCAATGAAAATGTGCCTACACTCTTCAAAATTCCCTGTTGGACTGCAGTATTGCTCCTGCTGAATGTGGAGATTAATCCAAGTCATATTTAATTTTAAAAGCTTTCTTGATATATGTAAGGGAGAAACTGATATTCTTGAAAAAAAAAATAAGCAACATGAATAGATTTTCTAAATTTAGCAAAACTAATAAAAAATATTGTCAGAGTAGTGTGAAGAAGTTTACTTTCATTTGTCCCTACTGCCAGCAAAGAATGGAGCCTGCCCATCTGGCAACAGAACCACTTCACTGTTCCAGAGTCTACCTGTTGCAGACACAGGGAACAGAATAAATGGAATCAGCCAGCACTTTCTGCTGAAGAGAAGCTCAGCATTTCAAATTAGAATTCTGGAGGGCAGAAGATGGAAGACCACATGTAAACTGTTTAGAAAAAGCTTGTTTACAACTTTAAGCAGAAATGTACAGTTTAGGATGTCAAAGCATGGAGGCTGAGGAGAATTACAAAGGCACGTAAGACAGGAAAGAGAAAGGAGTCAAAGACCAAGATAATTTTGGAAAGCAACCAGAATCTTAGCTCACTCCTGCCTCAATTCCAGTTCCAATTACATAAAGAAAAAGAGAGTTGCAGAAACTGAGAAGAGGTGCCAGCCGAGATTCTGACCATGCTACAAGAAGGTATAGCACATATCTAACCTTTGCTGGTTTTAGTCGGTTCTGAGGACACGTTCCCCGTTTTCTTCTTTTTTCTTGGGACAGGTACATATTTCCGGTCAAATGTAACAGGACTATATTGAGGAAGGCTGTTAAACTTTTTTTCAAATTCTTCATCCAGCTTTGCTGAGCTAATAAAAGAGGGGTGGGGATTAATCAGTACATGATGTAAATATCTGAACAGAAAATGATACAAGATATATTTTATTATATTCCATTTGAGAACAGTGTCCCATAGAAAGAGAACATTGTTAGTCAATTCTGTGCAAGGGGAAAACAAAACAAAACAAAACACCATCTTTTCAGAAAATGCTTGAGAAGGTTTACCAACAATTTTTTAGTAAATCCACATGACAGGTTCTATTATTACCTTAGAAAAGCAGAGTATTTTTGACATGGAGAATTTCCCATTTTTTCCATTGATATGGGAATTCTTCCTAAGTGCAGGACCAAGTATAGTTTATTTAGATAGTTGCTTATTCCAGATATTCATATATACGTATGTAGTACTTAACATCCATTCAGGCACCGTCCAACTGCAAATACGTCTGTGGCCTGAGGCACCCAGGTGTCTAAGTGCCAGGAAACCCAGATCCTTGTCTTGAGGTCAGAGACTCACTTCTACCCAGCTGCTGCATATGGCCTGGAAGCTATCTAGTCGGCGATGATGGAGACCCAGGCCCAAACTCTCTATCCTGTTTTCTCTTGGCTCCTGTGACTTAGCAGGTCTAGTAGCTTTGTTTTGCCTGGTGTGGTCCTGTAGGGCTTCGATAGAAAGGTACGCATCTTGGGTGGCCAAGCCCTGGCTCGGTGCCCATAGCTCCCTTGGTCAGCACTGTTCCCCTCTCTAGGCAGGTTTCTCATGGGTGAGCTGGCCTTCCCTGCAGCTGCCTTAGCAGAAGGCAGTGAATGGCAGGTGGGACCAGGCTGAATGCTCACCTGAGGTGTCTACAGTAGGAGGTGCCTAGACTGTGTGCTGCACTGCAGCCCCCCTGGTGCACTGGCCTGGGAGCCCCTACACCACATGGACATGTGCTTGCACACAGCCAAATATCGTAACATTCTATTTCACAGAATGTATTGTGGACATTAAGTGATGCATACCTGTATATGTATATACCTCCACGCTTAGATACATGTAGTTTGGTCATTTTGTAGGATCAGATTTTTTTTAAAAAAAATTAGTGGTAAATGTTTGATTGAAAACCATATAGGCACAAACAGAATGCAAATGAAATTTCTGAATATTAGAAAAAAAAATTCTGGATGGCTGACCTGGATGAGGATAAAACACTGAATGAGCAAAGCCAAGCCAATTTTCAATAAGCACACTGGCAGAGAGGCAACACCACTTTAACTCAAACCACATTTGATTTAAAAAATGCCACCGTTGAAGTTGGGAAATCCTTGGGCTGGTTCTGACGGTCTCTATGGCCCCCACACAGAAATGGCTGTTTGCCTGCTGGAGCTGAGGCTGGCTGCTGGCTTTCACTTTGTGAGACTTATTAACTAAGATGCAACCCAGACAGACGGAATAGCTGCAGGAGAATCACTATGTTTGGTAGATGGGAAATGGAGGGCATAATGGGAAGAGGCAAACAGCTTTGTCTACCAACTCTGAGGAACCTAATGTGTCAGGCTGCTAGCTAAGAGATGTCTTGACATATTTCTACCTATAACTGTTCTTGCTTTTGGCGGCTAGTGCAAGAATTGTGAAGCAGAGACAAGACCATAAGAGGACCATCAGCACTGTCAACAGAAAAGGGCCACCACTAAATTCTATCAAAGCAATATGTATGGGGTATGTGTGTGGCGAGTGTGTGTTGAGGAATGTTCCTTACTTAATAAAGCCATCTTTTCTCATTCAGTTAAAAAAAATGCTGATATCGATGGAAAATTTGGTATTAGCTGAAGCTAATCAGATACTCTCAGACAGCTATCTATAAGTTGTGAATATAGTCTGAATATCCAAGAGAAACATGTAAAAATGCAAGATATAACAGTAAAAGATTCCTTGGTATAAATGAGAAGAATAATCTGTGTATTTCTTGGAAAGGTCTGTAAAATTATAATTGCCGATACTGAGTGATTTTTCTTGGCTATAGTTAACTAGTGGTGCAGGAGGACAGGCTGTTTCATTCTGTTGCACACAGGGTCACTATGTGTCAGAAATGACCCAACAGTATCTAACAACAACAGCAGGTAGCTAGATAGGTAACACATTTTCTGAGATAAAAAAAAAATTCAAATGTTCATCTAGAAATCTCAGAAAAGACTAAGAGGAACTGGCATTTCTCAATGCTCAGGCACTATTATGGTATCTTTTGAACATAGTAAACAAACCCAAATAGGCCAATATTTAAAACGGGGGGTGGGGGGAGGGGGCTGGTGATCCCTGAAGTTTACTGTTGTTTTAGCCTATAGAAAACGACACTCTTAGTTACATGTATGTGACTTCCTCAGAAATGGTAAAAATAAATAAATAAATAAAACAAATCCAATTCACACATCAAGCTCTTTTCAGAGACAGCTTTTTAAAAGATTGTTTCACTTTTCTTGTTCCTCAAGTTGGTGAAAAACTGCTCTCTCACAGCTTTAGAAGTTCCTAATGGAAGTGGCAGGGAACTTTCAGATGGGAAGCCTTAATGACTGCTGTGTTACCCGGGAATCCATATTGTTTACAGTAAGACCCGCCACTCTCTTGGCATGGAGACCTTACAAAGCACTGGCAGTTCTTCTACAAGACACATAGTATTGGCTCAGATCCCAGGTCACTTTTTAGGAAATTCTGCATTTGAAAATGTGATTTGACACTGACAACTGGGAGGGTTTTCATGCCATTGTTTAAAGATAATGTAAACAAAACTATCAGAACTACTTTGGATTTTTCAAAATATTAGGGAGAAGGAAATACATAAAATTATGTTCTCTGAATATAAATAATCTCAAGGGACCATTATTATGGGAAATAATTCCCACCCTCCCACTCTAAGAAAACTGCTAGCCTTAGAATTAAACAGACTTTATAAAAGCACTGTTAACTTCCAAGGGGGGGGGGGATATATTATTCTATAAACAGACATGCAAATATTTATGAATAAACCAAATGTAGTATATTGGGTGCATAAAAGTTGCACACTTTTAAAGGTACTTAGGAAAAAATATGTTGTTGCTATTAGGTGTCATCAAATTTGTCCTGACTCATAGTGACCCTGGTGCAACAGAACGAAACATGCCCAGTCGTGCATCATCCTCACAATCATTACCATGCTTGAGCCCACTGCTACAGCCACTGTGTCGTTGGGGGTCTTCTCCTTTTTTGAAGACCCTCTACCAAGCATGTTATCCTTCTCCAGGGACTAATCTCTTTTGATAATGTATCCAAAGGACGTAAGAAGTTGTCTTGCTATCCTTGCTTTTAAGCAGCATTCTGGCTGTACATCTTCCAAGACAGACTTGTTCTTCTGGCGATCCACGGTACATTCAATATTCTTTGCCAATACCATAATATATATGCATCAATTCTTCTTTGGTCTTCTTTATTCATTGCCCAGCTTTCTTATGCATATGAGGCAACTAAAACTACTATGGCTTGGGTCAGGCACACTTCAGTACCATCTTTGCTTTTTAACACTGAGCAGGTAATCCAAGAAGCTGGACTACATGAAGAATGGAGCATCAGGTTTGGAGGAAGACTCATTAACAACCTGTGATATGCAGATGACACAATCTTGCTTGCTGAAAGCAAAGAGGACTTAAAGCATTTAACAATGAAAAGCAAAAGACTACAGCCCTCAGTATAGATTACACCTCAACATAAAACAAAATTCCTCACAAGTGGACCAATAAGCAACATCAGGATAAATGGAAGAAATATTGAAATTGTAACAGATTTCATTTCACTTGGATCCAAACTCTAAACTTATGGAAGCAGAAGCCAAGAAATCAAACAATGCAATGCACTGGGCAAAGGTGTTCAAAAGAAAAGATGTTACTTTGAAAACTAAAGTTTGCCTGACCCAGGCCATGAAAAAATATAGAGAACATAAAAACGTATTTACTTCTATTTAGTGTATTCTTTTCAAATTGGGCTAATGAGAAATTTCAAAGCATTTTAAAAATAGTACAAGTGAATATGCAGATACTTTCTTCAACAGTGTTAAGTACTGGACCTCATAGCTTATTAAAAAAACCCTTTATATTGTTATTATGAGTCTCTGGCATAATATCAAAAATGAAATAATTTTTAATGATTTTTCTCTTGATATTATGTCATTGCTTAATACTACATTTCAATACATTAATTCAGCTCTGTGCTTGGAGAATAGTCAACCCAGTATTTTTTATCCTGGAACAGCTAACAAGATTTAAAGAAAATAAGGTTAGAGATAAAGGCATAATTTTACTTACTGCACACTCTTCAATTGTCATATTATTTTATAAAGACATATTAAACAAAGTACAAACAATATGTAAAATGAGCAAAGTATAAACATATTTACGTAACATCCATCCTCAGCTTCAGATGGGAAAGAGTCTTGGAGATTTTAAATGAGTTAAAATGTTATGCCATTAATACAGAGTGAACCTTGATTGAAACTCAGGTCTCATTCTAAGATCTACATACTTCTCCCTATACCTAAAATGTGAATGGTATTTTCACTCCCACAACTAGATTAACAGCAGAAATCATGTGGTACATTTGATTTGTATAATCCTTACTGTGCTTAGTAAGAATGCAGTAAATGCTAAATGAATATTCAAAAAATAAGCAGTGGGTGACTTATGTTTACCTTGAAAACCCTATCACATTTGGGGTCTGTGCAGTATAGCTGACGGTGCTCACACTTACCCAAGGAGAGAATCTTCCTTTGTCTTGGTCTTCTTGAACTTTTTGCTCCCACTGGTCCCACACTGGTTAAATGTCCAGCTTTCTTCATTCCAACACCCTTCATGATCAGAGGAGTTTCCTTTTCCTGAGCTTCGTTTCCCTAAGGAAATTCAAGAGAGCGCCTGTGCTTGGTACACTGGGGTAGGGGTTAGGGAATCATCTTTCTGCTTCACAAGTGATGTTGACCCCTTAGGTTTCATTTGCAGGACTCTAGTTGTAGTTATTCCAGAGTCCTCTACCCATTATTCATGCAGGACCATTTTAATAATGGAACATGCAAAAAATACTTACAGCCTCTGAGATCAGTTGCCTCGGCATAACCCATCAGGTACTGCGTGACTCAAGATAGACTGCTTACTGTCAGGTTTTCCCTTTGAGAGTCAGCCAAAGAAGTGAGAGTCCTTTGCTGGGGGGCATAATTAATTCTGCTTTCCTAAAGACTCATTGGAATGACATCCCTGGAGAACTATGTACTACCAAAAGTATCTTCATCCAGGGTTTGCTAAACCTACGGCTCTCACATCTCTTACTATAATTTAGCTTGGCAAGAGGTAGTCACCTAGCCAGGTGATGTATTTTTAGACAGAAGAATTTATATGAAACATTCTGTGGAATATAGGTGTACACATTAATTGCTTTCTAGATGCTGTGTTATGTCAAAGACTCTTTCACTTTAATTATCTCTTTGAGTATCCAATGGAGAGGGCCAGGTAACCTATTTCTTTATGCAGCCTACAAGTTAAGAATTTGTTAAACATACTTGCTTGACTCAGGAAAGTCTTTCCATCAGTTTTAAAAGCCAGGTTAAAAGCTCTAACCATTCAACACTGATCTTTCTAAATAAATAGCAAGCCCATACAAATAAAAAAAAGTTTGGATTATTTTGAATACCTGTTTCCTGAAAACTACCTATAAAAAGAATACAAATGCTCAATGATGCTAGGAAAACAGGTAAGTAAAATGACAAACATATATGATCTATGAAGCATAAAGAACTGTACAAATTTAAGATATTATTTTGATATGTGTATCTCTTTATGGTTGTTCTTTTAACAGATCTAAAAGAGAAAATCAGCTTGGTCTTTGTATCCCCTTCCCAAGTTTGTGGAAGTCACTTACCTCTGTCAACATTAGCTCGCAGAGAGGTGAGCATGCCCTCAGACACCAGGGTTTTATAAAGAGCACCTTTGCAAGACCTCTCAGATTTCCTGGAGCCACAAGTCTCTATTTTTCTGTGACAGTCACTGTCCTCAGGCTTGGTCTGTCCTGATAGGCTGGGTGGAAGTGCATCCTCTGTGGGGGTCAAGGGTTCTGCTTTTATACCCTCTGGCACCTCACCAGAAATGTTCTTGCTGGCAGAAAGACTAATGAAATCTGGAGGTCTTGACTCTTTGGTAGTGTCTGAGAATTTCTCCTTTGACATTTTCTTCTCTCTTGATTTCACTTTTTTCTTTGGTGGCTTGGCATCCAATAGGCTTCCCTTGCCACTTGAGGATGTACGGACCTTCTTGCGAGGGGCTTCTCCAAGCTTCTCAATGCCCCAGTCTCCCTTTGCAACGGCTTCAATGGTATATATGACACTCTCAATGTCAGACTCAGAAGACTGCCTCTTTTTGCAAGTCTTCTTGGGTGTGGATTTATCACTTCCATGTCGATCCATTTTACTTTTCTTCTTCTTCTTTTTCAGCTTTTCAGGTTTGTTTAATGCTGTGGGATCCTCAATGATCATAATTCCATGAGGATGGCACATGTGATCCTTTCTACTGGGAACATCACTTATTATTATCTTGCTACTGGCAGAGTAAGAAAAATCAGGGAAAAGACTACACTTTTGATCTTCCTCTAGTTCTTCCCTTTCTGTTTCTTTGGGATCTTCCATTTTGATAGCCATTATATCATCCATTTGCAGCTCCTGAAAATTTCTTAATTCCTTAGAATCTCTTACATTTTCCTTAGCCGATTTTTCAAATTCTGTGTCCTTCTGTAAACTGGTTTCATCTGTTCTCTCCACTGTGATTTCCCTTCCTTCTTTTCCCCTCTCCAGTTCGTTCATTCTTCCACCATCTGGTTCTTTTGCTTTTATTAGCTTTGATTCTTCTATTTTCACCCCCTCTGATGCCAGGCACATCTAAAGAGTTAAAAAAAAAAAAAAAAGGACAAAAACAAAACTAAAAAATCCTTATTCTTCCATGCCAGAAATTAGTTTAAACTTTTTACTTATATACACTTTAAAAAAATTATCAAAATAAACCGCAAACCTTACAATGAGTCCACTTCCGCCAAAAGAATGTAAATGATTCAAGTTAATAAGTTTTAGGCAGTGTATTTATTAAACTCTAGACAAGCATATACCAGAATTTCCAATGTCTAGCCTATTGGAGTTATTTTGATAAAAATAAGATTTGTTAGAATGAGATGGGATCTGGAGAAAAGATCTGATTTTAAGTCTTAGTTTTGATATGCTCTGTGATCTATATTAAGTTATTTCACTCTTCTGAATCCTTCCTTTCCTTTGTAAAATGAAAATGATGATATGAATATCTATCTCACAGGATTTACAATCTGCTTCCAAAAGGTCCCAGGCTTGAAAACCCTATGTGGATCAATTCCAGTGTACACATGGGGTTGCCAGAAGCTGGAATCCACACCATGGAATCTGGTTTGGCTTTCAGTGAAAAGATGTACATAGATATTGCTTAATAAAATCATCCCAAAACTGTGTGCAGATATTTGTCTTTTCCTTTTCTTGGGAAAATGAAAAAAACAGCAACAAGTTTTATACTTATTCACTTCAAACTAGAGATAATATGATGATTCATTAAACAACTGCACCATGTTGTCAGTTAATGAAAGAAACATTATAGATCCACAAATGCCTACTTATAACCTGAAAACTACAAAAGTTCTGGAAATTAAAAGATTTGTCATTCTTATTTGGTGACAAACTTGATCTGAACTCATTTGGCTACAAATCTTGAATTGAAGCTGTTTTATTTTACTATGTTTACTCACACATTCATATGCTATTCATACGTTATTGCTATCTGACTACTCAAGTATTTGAACATGCACCAGGGGATTACATAACATAAGCTACAAATAATGTATCATTTCACTAAAATATAAAAAATTCTGAACATCAAAACACGTCTGCCCCAAGGATTTGGTGAAGGGCTTGATGTAGTTTTTAACTCTTAACTGAAACTCCTAAAATTTCACATTAAATAAGACATTAAAGGGAAAACTTGCCATCTTTCTCTCCAGCTCCCAGGTTCCATGGAAGTGCAATCTAAACCTATTTTCTAGAAGGGAAAATTGCCACTTATTTTAAAATTCATTTTTAATACGTGGGTTTTTAATCCATAAACTCTCATTGCATGACTCCCAAGAGCCATGCTCCTGGAGGAAACTAAAGTTACAATAATCATTAGGGTCCATCGCTGACTTTGAGGAATTCATCAAGAGGTTAATGATATTGATTAGGCCAAGTGTAGCACAGGAATTCTTTGCCAGACTTGTGTTAAGGTGTATCAGCAACTGAGAGGAGCAAGTATTAAGAACTGCTGTCCTGATACATAATCAAACACATGAATAGGAAAGGGATCCATTTTTTAGAAATCACCATCTTATCAAATGGGAAGTTGTCAGAGATTGTCAACATCTGTACTATTCAATTTTTAAATGGGTAATACATTGAATTAAAGAGGATTTTTTAGTTCATTTTTTTCTCCTTAGTACTTTCAATGGATCACAAATCTTTCTGCGAAAATTATGTTACGATTACTAAGTCTAGAAAGAAATTGGAAAAGGGGATGGGGAGAGGAAGACACTGCAAGTTTTTAAAAAATGAACATGACAAGCACCTAGCCCTTCAGATAACGAAGAGGAAAGATCTGACATATTAAAGATTCACAGTGGAGCTGTCTTTTTTAGAAACTCATTTAAGTATACTTTTCAGACCTTAGCAAGTGGCTACAAGGACTGAAAACTTCCTTCTATTATTATACTTACCAGGAAATAGGTTAGAAGCAAAGGCTTATTTTAACTTTGAAACACTGGCACATTTAATTTTATTCTTATTGGAGAACTTGCTGTTTTTACATCAATTTTGAATTAATACTTATTTTCCTATCTTAGTTATACTTGTCCTTCATGAATGACTCAGCCATTTGGGGAAAGGGATATACCAGTTCCAGAAAGAGGGCTAGAAAGGCATTCTCAAAATAAATTCTACAGTTTTTCAACCACTATCATGCTTGTGGAAGTTCTGGTGGCACAGTGCCTAAGGCATTTAACTGCTAACCAGAAGGCTGGTGGTTCAAACCACCAGCCACTCCTTGGAAGGAAGATTGGTCAATCGACCAATCAGAAACCCAAAGAGGGGTCACCATGAGTCCACAGCAGTGAGATGTTTTGGGGAGCTCTGGTAGCATAGTGGCTAAGACACTTGCCTGCTAACCAGATGGCTGGCGGTTCAAACCCACCAGCCACTCCTCGGAAGGAAGGTTGGGCAATCCTACTTCCGTAGTGATACTGCCTCGGAAACCCAAGAAGGGGTCGCTATGAGTCGGGGCCGACTCGACGGCAAAACAACAACAACAACAACAACAACAACATCATGCTGTGGCTTTTAGTAAGCCATTTCAAGGACCTTTTGCTATATAGGCACTGGTTTTTACAGTGGTATATTACCAGTTTACATTTGTACAAGTTCATCTTAGCAAACTTAATAATACTTTTCAAACTCTATTCTCTGCTCAAATACACTACCAAATGATTCTCCTCATCACCTCTAATATGATTGTAGAGTTAGGAATGAAATGGAACAAATGCGGACTGTAGAGTTAGGAATGAAATGGAACAAATGCAGACCTTCACTCTGGGGATGTATTCTGGGAAACAGCGTAATATTTTTTCTGGAGGTAATTACACCAAACACTATTCATGCTTTCCTTCCTTGTTGAAGCTCTTAAAAGTTTTTTCACAAATGGAATATGTTAATCCTAAATTATAAGAAAAATAATTATATTGTTGCAAATGCAACAAACAATTCCCTACTAAAAACTACAAATCACAATTGATGCACTAACCAAGCCAACAAAATCAAACACAATTGGACTCTCCCAGTTGGGTGTCACTTGAGAGGCCTTCTTGTCTAACCTTCTTCCCAAGACAAGAATTCATTTTACTACAATACTCTGGAGAGTTAGTTATCCAACTTGCACAAAGATAGCCAGCATTGTTATTCCATTACTGGGCAGTTCAGTTTCTAATTTTTTAAAATATTAGCAAAACTGGACACTAAGCTTCTGTTAAGAGTGATGGAAATGGATAGAGGTGATGGTTACACAAACTAAAAGTAATTAATGTCAATGAATTGTACATGTAAAAAATGTTAAAATGATACTTTCTGTATATACATAGATAGATAGATAGATAGATAGATAGAAAGAAAGATAGAAAGATAGGAGCTTTGGTGGTGTAGTGCCTAAGGCACCTGACTGCTAACCAGAAGGCTCATGGTTCATCCTCAGCAGCCACTCCTCGGAAGGAAGATGGGGGAACCTACTTCCGTAGTGATCTGGCTTGGAAACCCAAGGAGGGGTTGCTATGAGTCGGATCCAACTCGATGGCAGTGAGTTCCCCCACCCCTTTATATATTTATATATATATATATCCCACTCACCACTGCCATCGAGTTGATTCCAACTCATAGTGACCCCCACTGGCTTTCCAAGGCAGTAAATCTTTATGGAAGTAGACTGCCCAGACTTGCTTTAGCATTGTGGCTCGTGGGTTTCCACGAACCTTCTGGTTAGCAGTCATATGCCTTAGGCACTGTGCTACCAGAGCGCGCTCTCTCTCTCTCTCTATGTATATGGAGGGTATATATATAATACAAACACACATAAAATAATATGTACGTACATGTATACACTCACCACAATAAAAAAATTATTATCTTACAAATTCTTCCTATTGGCCTTAGTTCTTTAATCTGAAACCACACAAATTATTCCTTCTCTCATGAAAGAATTTCAAACACTTGAAGATTCCCTTCATGTTCCCTTGAGTCTCTTCTGGTATAACCTTTTCAGTTTCCATAACAGCTCATCACATGTATGGTATCCTGAAGTGAGAATGTGTTTTATTAAAATGAACTGGGTTTATAACCAAGCAATATAGCTTGCCTAAGGTCATAGACAAGTTACAGTAGCTTAGACTGGAACTCATACGAGAAAACAGAGGCTGTGAAATGAATTAATAGTACCCCCTGTGGGATTGCTGCGAGGCAAAAGAGAACAAATGTGTATGAATAAAATTTACCAATGGCATAAAGTTTTATCAAGGTTGGGTGAAATGAATGCTTCAATTAACAAAATCATTCTTCCTAGCCTTGCTGTAACACTCTAGATGAAAAGTGGAACTATTTGTCAGTTGATAAGGATACTATACATCTTTAATGGAGCTCTGGAGTTAATTACTTTTTTTTTTTTCTTTAATAAACACATCATACTTCTGATTTGAATTGAGCTTGTGGTCAATTAATATCCTGACTTTCTCCCTTTCATGATAAAAACACTCAACAAACTAGGAACAAAAGGTAGATTCCTCAACATAATAGAGGGGATTTGTTGAAAAACAAAACAAAACAAAAATTTCACCACTAACATTATATTCAATGGAGAAAGACCGAAAACCTTAGCCCTAAGATCAGGAACAAGACAAAGATGATTGCTTTTCTCATTGTGGTTCAACAATGTACTGGAGACTATAGCCAGAGCAATGAGGCAGGAAAAAAAAAAATCAGTGTATCCAAACAGGAAAGGAAGAAGTAAAAGATGGCATGATCTTATATATAGAAAATAAAATTAAAAAAAATCCACAAGAAGACTACTAAAGGTAGTAAATAAATTCAGCAAAGTTGTAGGGTTCCAGATCAACACACACACACACACAAACACACACACACACACACACAAACTGTGTTTCTATACATTAGCTGTGAACACTCAGAAAAGTAAGAAAATAATTGTTTATAATATCTAAAAGAATAAAGTACTTAGGAATAAACTTAGCCAGGGAGGTAGAAGATATTGTACAATGAAAACTATAAAACATTGGTGA